CTGATGTCACTACACATCTTTGGAACTCAATTAGAATGATGTATGTGGAATGATTTTTGTTTTGTTAATAAAGATAAAGTTGAATGTGTAGGAAAGGGAATGGATGTGGAAGGACGTGCAGTTGAGGTGAATATGATCAAAACAAGTTGTATAAAATTCTCAAAGAATTATTAAAAAATTGTCTAATTTTGATATTTGCCAAAATCACAGAGTGATGACATCATCATTTGTTATATCACAAAGAGGAGAATGTAGATACACTTGAAAATATTATGATACAGAAAAATACTATAAGAAAATTGCTAACTTTTCTTTGGCAAATTCTCACTGTATATCATAGGCAGGCCTTGAACTAAATCTCCTACTGTTTAGGAACCCAGTTCCTAGGACTCTAGGATTAAAGGTGTGAACTACACACCCAGCTAAGTAGTGACTCGGAGAATCTTGCTGTAGAGAATTTCTTGTGGGGATTAGACATAGTGTTAATTCAATCTTCCAACCATTTAGAATACTGTTACTCACAGAAGGTCACCAATTGGAAGCATTAGTAAAAGCAACCATGGAAGGAAGTAGGTGTGGTCTTAAGAGACTTTATAAGGACATTCCAGGGCCCAGTCAGATCCATTCTTCACCGGAGTAGCCAGAGTTTGTTTCTACACATTCTGGCTCCAGAGACTGCTAGATTTATCATATCTGCACACGAGGATTGGATCCCAGAGCTGAACTAATATTGTGGTGTCCCCAGTAAATATTGCTGAGGCCAGAGACAATTCCTTGGGTGAGTGCACAGTTTACAGGAGAAAGTCATTGATATTTCCTTTTTTAATTTGTCACCCAGGTGATATTTCTGCTTAGAAATAACCATTTGCTATTTACCAAAAAAGATTCTGCTCCCATTTGGTCATTTTTCTTTGTAAATATAATGTGAGTTACAAGGATAGATAATTTTAGATTACAGTCTTACATTACCATGATGTATTGTGCTCAGAGGTACTTAGGTGCTATTTTTCACTTTTGATCATTCTGCAAATTCTACGACTATTTTTAGACCCTTCTGTATGTAGTTCATAGATTCACGAGGTATCAATACCTCTAAATTAGGTGTAAAATATAATATATAATAATTAAATGCTTTGAGTGGGTTGAAAATTACTAGTATTTAGAGATATTTTCTATAACTATTAAGTATAAAAGTGAAAACTCAAGATTTAGTTAAGATTTTTTTTGCATTTTTTCTGTTATAAATTATAGGAAGATATCACTGTGAGAAATAATGTTTGTTAGTAGTTTACAATCTTGGAATAAGTGGCTAATTCTACCAGTGATTCATTGATATGGTTGGAATTATATGTGGGATTTATTTCTCTAATTTATTAGGGAAAACTAATGAAGCTCTTCTATTTATGAAAGCATAGTCTGATTAAAATCTGACACATTTTTTTTTCAATTCTGTGTTTAACTTTCATTATTTCTGTGTGCTTATAAGTTATTTTGGATCAAAGTACCTACTATAGTGCATAACATTCCAAAGGAATCAATCAGATAAGTTAAACAAGGCAGCATTGGAATTACAGTCTCTTCTAAACTAATCTCAACAATGAGTCCTGGCTTTTGAAGTACAAAGGACAACACACTAAAGACACTGACTCTATTTGCTTTAGACCCTGGATGCTTAAGATATTTGGGAGATATCTGTTTCATTCAAGCAGGATTATTGACTTGTGTAGGTATTCAAAGAGAAGGGGAATTGGCATCTGTTGATTAGATAGCCAAAATTCAAATAGTCATGGTAGCATCATTCATGCCTCTAGGATTCATTCCATAAACTCAAAAGATATGAACTGTATCTTTAGTAAGCATACAAGTCTCCCCAGAGAGTTCCCTAGCATTCAAATAGAAAGACTTTACTATAGACATGGAAACATCTGGGCATGTCTGTGAAGAATTATTTGGAGTAAATTCACGGCTGGTGAGAAGATCCACACTAAACCCTTCTGAGATCATTTCACCATTCCATGGTTGGGAGTTTCAAACTGAAGAAAAAAGGGAGGAGGAGTTGTGTAACAAGTGTTGCTTGCTTTCAGCTTCCTTATTCTGGAGGCCATGAGACCAGGTATCTAAAGCTTCTGCCACCATTTCTTGCCTGCCATGATGGACACTGTCCATGAATTATGAGTCAAAATAAGTTCTTATGTTTGCTAAGTATTTGGAACAGAAAGACAAGAAGTTAACTACTGTTGCCTTCATGTATCAAGGGGTGGTCAAATGTGATGTGAATGAGTAAGATGCTAAAATGCAAAACATTTTCTAGGTATTTTGTGAAGCAGGGAGTATTTTCTTGGCTAGAAAAAAGGAGGTGTTTAAACTACACATATCTGGAGCGAAAGAAACACATGTGTCGACTGAAGTTTTTGTCCCACCAGGTCACATAGTTGTTCAGTGCCAAAGAAATACACAGAGGTCCACATTAATTATAAACTGATTGGCTCATTAGCTCAAGCTTCTTATTAGCTCTTATAACTTATATTAGCCCGTAATTTTTGTCTGTGTTAGCCATGTGACTTGATAACTTTTTTTGGTGAGGCAGTCACATCTTGCTTCCTCTGCGTCTGGATGACGGCTGCAGACTAACTTTTTCCTCTTCCCAGAATTCTCCTGTTCTCATCATCCCACCTCTATTTCCTGCCTGGTCACCCTGCCTATATTTCCTGCCTTTCCTACTGGCCAATCAGTGTTTTATTAAAAATAATACAAGTGACAGGATAAAAGACCATTGTCCTATAGCACTCCCCCCCTTTTTTTTTTTTTTAAAAAAAAAGAACTCTGAATCTAATCTCCTTTGCTTAGCTTTTCTCCTGCCCATTATCCATAACAACTTATATCCAACATTCTAAACCAAGACAAAAATCCATATTCCATTTTTTTGGAATGTGGGCATAGTTTTCAAGGCTACTTCCTGCTGATTGGGGATGCTGGTTATGTAACAGGGACCTAAAGAAAATTTAGAATTATGGTCAAGTCCTGACTGGAAAATTCTGTGAGTCTTCATAATCTCAGCTAGCAGTCTTGAAATTGTTCTGGATGTAGAACTAAGACCTCTGGACCATCCGCTCTTATCAGAGATTTCTCAGGTAGTCTTCCTTGATCAGACTTAATTTTTGTTAGCCCAGAATGAATCCACAGCTTCTCATTTCTTGTGGAAACAAAAGTAATACCTCTTCTCCTTTTTACTTAAATTTTGTAACATACCTTTTTACTTAAATTTTGAAGTCAAGGCATTTTCAAAATATATATGTTGGATTAATCTAGCAGCATTTATAATCAAATATCTTTAAGCATCTTTTGCTCATTCCTCAACCATCAAACTCAAAGACAACACAATATCATACAGTATCCAGACTCTCTGTGTATGTTTCATTTTTATGTGGCTTTATTTTAAACTCTATTTCTTTTTATTTTAACTTTTGGCTTTTTGAGACAGGGTTTCTCTGTGTATCTTTAGCTGTCCTGGATCTCATTCTATAGATCAGGCTGTTCTTGAACTCACAGAGATTTGCCTGCCTCTGCCTCCCAAGTGTTGGGATTAAAGGTGTATGCCACCACACCTTGAACTCACAGAGATCCATCTGCCTCTATCTCCCAAGTGTTGGGATTAAAAGTATGTGCCACCAAACCCAACTATTCTCTTTCTTTCTTTTTTATTTTAAGGACTTTATTCTTTTTCTTTTTTCTCCCAAACCTACATATATTTTTAAACACACTGTCAACCATTTAGAGGTTTTTTTTTTTTTTTTAAAAATCTGAATTTGTCTTTACTGTACTTTTTCTAGCTACATGAGTCTTTAATTTGTTGAGCGATTTGGCTAGAATTAAAGTCGTGGCTTTGACAGCTGGATCCAACCCATTCCTTAGGTTTCTGAGAGCCTAGCTTTATGGTAGAGGTACTGACTGGAGCCATGTTTATTGTCACAACTATATGGAGTTCCTGACACCACCGAAAAGCATGCAGTAAGTTTTTTTTAAATCAACACCATTTAAGTGTTTTGTGGCAGGACCTCTTAAAAGAGCTGTAAGGTTTTCCATCTAAAGCTAAGTCAGGAAGCCTCTCTTACATCAGATATGCTTGTCTCTAGCAAAGAGAGCAAACCTGAGAAATTGCTGTTACAAAGAAGCCATGTTTAACCCTGTTGTTTTGTGTCTAGAATTACGTCCCAAGCTCTCTCAGGTTTTCTGTGGATGCAGTTGCCCACGCTGGGTGCTATTTGTTGACTGAAGTTTCTGTCCAACCAGGTCCTGCAGATGTTCAGTCCCAAAGAAATACGTAGAGGTCTATATTAATTATAAACTGATTGACCTACTAGCTTAGGATTCTTATCAACTCTTATAAATTATATTAGCCCCTAATTCTTGTCTGTGTTAGCCATGTGGATTGGTACCTTTTTCGCTGAGGCAGGCACATCTTGCTTTCTCCGTTTCTGGATGACGACCGCAGACTGACTCTTTTTCCTCTTTCCAGAATTCTGTTGTTATCATCACCCGCCCCCCTTCTACTTTCTGCATGGTTGCCTTGCCTCTACTTCCTGCCTGACTACTGGTCAAGCAGTGTTTTGTTAAAAATAACACAAGTGACAGGATAAACGACTATTGTCCCCTGCTGCACGTGGAATTCAAGGAGTGACTTCACCCCATTTTATACTTTTTCCCTAAACTCTAAGGGAGCCTGTCTTGACCTGTAACCAAAGCACTAAATAGATAGTCTGCAAAAAAGATGAGGTTTTAGAGCACGGAAGGTCACCAGATCATTTTCATTTATGTCAAGAAGAGTGAAACAGAAAACATCAACAACTGTAATCCTATACTTACCTTGAAATTTTGTCATGGAAAAATCAAGACTGTCTGGGCATACACAGAATTAAATCACAACTTGAATCAAATCTTGTGCAGTCTCCTGCTGCGCTGGGGTCCAATAATAGTAATTCTGCTTTTCCTCCTTCAGAAAAATGGAGTCAGGCCTCTCACAAACCTTCCAGGAAGAGTTCACCTGCCTGATCTGCCTGAGCTACCTTACAGACCCAGTCACCATAAGCTGTGGCCACAGCTTCTGTCGAGCCTGCCTCCACCTTTCCTGGGAAGACAGCCAGGTTCCTGTTCTTTGTCCTACGTGTAGGGAACCATCCCAGCAGAAGGACTTCAGAACCAACATTGCTCTGAAGAAGTTGGTGTCTATTGCCAGACAAGCCAGCCTCATGAAGTACCTGAGCTCTGAGGAGCATCAGTGTGTGACCCACAAGGAGACCAAGGGGATCTTCTGTATGGAGAATAGGATCTACCTCTGTCGACTCTGCTCTGACTCCCATGAGCACAGAGGTCACAGACACTGTCCCATTGAAGCAGCTGCTGAGGGTCAAATGGTAAGTGATGCTTCTTAGAGAACATGAAACCTGGAGAGTGAGGCTCAGCTGAACACAGGAAGATGCTGGTCCTGATTACGGTGAAGCCACTGAGTGGTGACACTTCATTAAAAATTAATAAAGAAAGGCTGGCTATAAATATAAACATCTCTTAGAAGACCTGTGAGTGTAAAGATTACTTTTATTTCATGATATATTGTGCCTAGGTCTCTGGGAAGTCAAATACTAAAATATACTAATATATATTAATATATTTATTTAATTGTCTGTGACTAAAGAAAAAATTAGAAAAAATATATTGGAGTCAGCTAGGGAGAAACATCTGGGAATCCCAATCTTATTCAAATTAGCCAGATGTTAGTCAGAGTTATTAATCACTTTAACTGAGCAAAAGATAATTATTTTATTTCTATTTTCTTAAATCTAAAACTCTCAGTTACAAAGTAAAAAAAAAGCATTGTAGCCTTTCTACTTTCATCAAAGTTACCTTGTTTAATGTCCAAGAGTCTGTCCATCATTAATGTTTATCAGAAGATTAATATTCATTGTTTCTTACAGGAGAAACTTCTGAAGCAAATGGAATCATTATGGGAGAAGATCCAAGAAAATGAAGAGAATCTAGAAGCAGAGAAAAGAGTGATAACTCTGTGGAAGGTGAATACGAGATTTATACAGAAATTGTGGTTGAGGCAGATATTTTCAAAAATCATCATTCAAGATTCGAGTATAAGGCATAGGATGTGATACAAGGAAAACATTTTCTGATGACCTCTAATTCTGAGAGTAAAATATAGCTCTGTACATGAAAAGAATGGTTTGGCTGTGTGGCAGAAGAGTCTGAGACTAAGAAGTGAATTGCTGACAGTTTAGCATGCTGCATTAGACTCTAGAACTGTACCCTGAATTCTAATTGCTACATGCAGAGTTTCATATTTGAATGAACATATAAATTATCAAGCAATATCATTTTTTCAGGCACCTCTGGATCTCTTCCATAGATAAAAATGCTTAGGCTTTGGTAACCTGTTTAATTAATGAAAAAGAAATAAATGAAATCAAGGAATTTACGTTTTCTTATAAGTGGGGGCGCAGTCCATCAGAGTTATTCAGCACAGTAGTAGAAATTGTTTGCCAAAGCATAGAAGAATGTAATGAAGTAGGATACAATATTTTGCAAATATAATTGATAACGTCCCCTTTTTTTCAGGACTGCTTGATTCTAAGAGAAGAAAGGATCAGGGCAGAGTACAGGACATGCTACCCAGACCTCTCTGAACAGGAAGAAGAGCATATTGAGCGTATGAAAAGAAAAGGCAATTATTATTTAGACAAACTCTGGAAAAGTGAAGCTATGATGGTTCAAAAGAGCAAACAACTAAGAAAAGTGTATCACGAGCTGATGGCGATGTCCCAGGAACCATATGTGGTACTGCTGCAGGTGAGCACGAAGGTGTGCAGGAAAAGGCTTTATTGCCTTAATGCAACGCTGGGGATTGCTATACTAAGATATCTTTCAATATTCCCTAAATTTCTGTTAGGGTGTTTCTCTTTCATGAATATCTGGAGATCCTAAATTCTGTAATAATCTTGCAAAAACATGTCATAAAAAAGTGTCAGAAGATTCCCCAAGGAATAGGTCCTAATAGATTGCTTTTGTAGCCTGCTTCTCAGAAAGTCAAATCAGGGGTTTCTGTCTCCATACTTCATTAGCTCCTCTTGGTTATTTGCATAATATTAGAAAAAACTAATACTTAATTTCTTCTGTTTGAAATCTGTGTTTTTGAGAGTTGTTTTCGAAGTCGGGATTTTGAGTTAGAATCCTTTTCTGTGGTGTATGTTATCTACCAGCTCACAGTAATCTAGCCTCTATGCCCTGAATTCTAGAATTAGAGGCATGAGACACCACGCAGGGTTGGCGTCATACTTTTTGAAGTTCCCTTAGTTAAAGTATTTCTCAGTACATTTTGTTGAAACTCAGGGAGCATTAACTTTGAAGACATTTGGGGATTCAAAAGCAATGTACAATCAATACCCATTTCCTTCTCAAATTTTCCTCTTACATCTTAGTTCATCAAGAATTTGAATTCTACAAATCTGCCTCATTGGCATTATCATGAGACATAAATATAAAATTTCAGGGTAGATAAGTGATGGTCATTGTTATTGTTATGGTGATTGACTTTGATCTGAACTTCTTAAACAAACATTATATGCCATTTCTCCAGTAATCTAAGTTATTCTTGTTCTTTGCAGGATTTGGATGACATATTCAGAAGGTGAGTTTAGCTATCACCGTAAGCTGAAATATGCTATAAAATTGACTAAGGTTCCTTAGGAAAAGTGCAGATATATTTTATACTTAAAATACTCAATTGTTTGTGTATGATGTGTTTGAGTTATTTGTATTTGATTTTGTATATTGATGTGTGTGTGTGTGAATATGTGTTCATGTGAATGCATAAGAGCCATTGCACGTGTGTGGAGGTCAGAAGGCAACTTTGAGGGTACAGTGCTGTCCTTCTACCATGGCTCCAAGGAATAAACTCAAGTTGTCATGCTTATGTAGCACTAATCTATTATCCCATCCAATTTTTCCCTTTTTTCCCAAAGAGATCCCTGAGCCTATAAAGTCCCCCCAACCCCCAACCATATACCAATTATAATCAACTCCTAAATGATGTCCCTAACCCTGAGGACAAACTTTTTTGAGAGAAGGGACGTCATCTTCTAGAATTACTTCCTGCTGTCATGGGTGTGATGTTGTTTCTATGGGATCCTGTGAAAGTAAAATGATGGTTAAGTTCCAAGACGACTGTCTTGTATAACTGCAAATAGTCTTTGAGTATTTGGCAGGGTTTTTCTGGGGTTCTTATTTGGAGTTCTGGCCAGAACTTTGTAAAAAAAGTACACCATTTCAGGCAACCAAGTTGGAACCATCTTGAGCAGCTGGTAACCAAAACAGGTCTTATAGTAGTGCTATCAGCATCATGACATCATATCAACCAGGTGGAGTTGTTGCTGTGGGGCCCCATCTTCTTTCTGGAAACTTCAAAGATTACTGCAGGAAAATTCATTGTTCATTGTGGAAAACTTAAACATTTTTGTATGGACATATACAGACATATATAGTCAATGCAAGGTACGACAGAGATAAAAACAAATATGAAGAAAAGTAATTTTTTTCTAAATTCTTTTTTCTTTCTGTCCCATGTCCTGACATGAGAACGAAACTCTGAATTTTTATTTTAACAGCATGCTTGCATTTAGAGAGGGACATCTTCCACTTTGGGTTACAAGAGATAAACTCAAGTTGTCATGCTTGTGTGGCAAGGAAATTATCCCCTGAGCCACTTGACAGACCTGGAGTGAAGTTTTTAATAATCACTGTGACGATATCTGTAGCATCTAGCAAATCAATATTTTCTTCTCTTTGCAGGAGTGACTCAATGCGACTAAGCAAGCCCCTGGCTATGAAACTAGAATTCTATGTCCTAGCCCTGAGTGGACTGAGTGAAAGCTTCGACTAGCTCAAAGCAGAGTGTCTTCATTGATAAAATGACCAGAGGTACTCTTCAACAATGAGATGACCTTTACAAACACAAGTATTTTATCTCCCCAGAAATCTTCCTATGTTGGTCACATTGTGATCTTATTTAATCACACAGTCGAAAAGAAACAGAAATGAATACCAATATCATGTTGTAGGTGATCCTGACTGAAAAGAGAGTCATAAAGAATGGTGACTTAAATCAGGACAGTCTAATTAAAATTAAGTAAATCCAATAATGGAGATTTTTTGATGATTTTTACTCCCCTGAAATATCTCTATCTCTAAGTCACATTGTGATTTTACAAAACAAAAAAGAACAATATTGAAATGAATTCTACTTTCATGGTGTAGGTGACACTGGCTGAAAAGAGAATATCAGTTGCTCATGAGGCATAAGGAATGATGAATCAGGGCAGTCTAATTCAAATTAAATGTAGCCAGTGATGGAGGTAATGGATTATTTTCCTTTAAAACTTCGGCAGTTGATTTCTTATGGTACATTATGTTCCATTGATTAAAAATACACACAGTATAGTGGTGCACATTTGTAAACACAGCAAAACCACAGACAGAGTAGGACTGCCAATGGTTTGAGGGCAGCCTTGTCAACATAGTGAGTTCCATGATAGTCAAGGATAAAGAGCAAGACCTAATCTCAAAAGAAACTGAAAAAGAAAATCATAGATTAATTAAATGGACAAAGTCATTTTTCTTGAGCAATGAAAATGAAACAAATTGATAGGACGTGAGGCAGTGTCTAAATCCCCTTTGCAGATCTAAAAGGCAACTGTAACCTCACAGGGAAAGAGTATCAGAGGAACCAGAGGTTAGGGAGAACAATTGCTATGAGAGATCCATTTCTAAAGCATATTTTGCTCTTCCTTTAGGATGAATGTGGCTAATTACATGAAAATCACAGCAACAGTATGAAAATGATCACTGATCATTATTTAGGAATAACTTTTTATGTAGACCTATGAGGACAGGCTTTACTCTGACACTACCTGCAATACACATACCATCCTTTTGCTAGGTGTAATTAGAGGTCATCTGCCAGAAATAAGCTAAGGTTTCCTCTTCTACATCATCTACAGAAAAGTTACATAAAACTTTTCATCATGCTAGTACTCTGTTTCTTGTGGAAATCCTTGTCTTTGATGTATCTCAGTCATATTTAATCTCTAGTCTTAGCATGTTTTTGAAATCCAAGAAGACTCTAGGGACCTGTTTCCCTTGTGAATGTAAATAGTCATTTTAACTAAAATGTTGGCTTTTTCCACAGTGCATTTCTTTGAAAATTAAATCATACTCCATTACAACATGAACCTATTTAATGTCATGAGAAGATTCAGCTTTAGACCTTAACATCAAGATACATCTGTGGATCCTGTTGAATGCTATTTGGCCTCCTGGGGGATCACAGAGCTTCAACTCAGGGAATATTACTGGAAACTGGATTTGAAAGACTCTTGAGACTGGACTGTAAGGGTCTGTATGGATTCCTGGTTACAGAATACAAACCAACCGGTTGAAACTGAGGTGCCTTTCTTCTTTTCTGTGTGAAGAGAGGAATCATTACAGTCTCCTCACCACGAATCTAGATTTCCATCACTATATAGAGAAGCCACTGGGCCAGGTTGACGTGCTCCTTGATCATGAGGATGGATGTTTAAGTTTCCTGAGTGTTGCCAAGAGTTCTCTCATATATGGATATCCTCATGGCACCTTCAGTGACCCTGTCTGGACTCTCTTCTCTGGTGGCCAAACAAGACCAAGTTTTAAGATATAATCCAGTACTTTAGTGTGAAGCATTTTTCTACGGTAATGTTACTTTTTTTTGTGGCGGGCCGCAACCACATTCTCCATTGCTTCAAGGAACAAAGGTAGAGATTGACCTCTGTGACCTCAAGGTGTGGCGGTACACGCCTTTAGTCCTGATGCCTGGGAGGCAGAGGCAGATTGACCTCTGTGACCTCAAGGCGTGGTAGTACACGCCTTTGGTCCCAATGCCTGGGAGGCAGAGACAGGCAGATCTCTGTGAGTTCAAGGTGATGTAGCACACGCCTTTAATCCCAGCGCCTGTGCTTGGTAACTCTCTACTGCTGCGTCCCTGCCTACTTCCGAGGCATCATCTGGGATAATGGGCAGCGGACCAATCCAAGAGTGACACGTCAGAAGCGAGGACTGTTTCCTTTATAAGGGCTGGGTTCCCCTCATTCTGGGTCTCCGCTTTGGAAGCTGATGCTCTCCCTCTCAAGACGCATTAAAGCTTTACTGCAGAAGAATCCTAAGTGCCCCGCGTCGTTCTTGCTGGCGAGAAGGTAGCGCGGGGCATTTTTTATTCCTATAATTTTTGGTATTTTAAATACAAAAAAATGAAAAAGAGGGTTGACTACATTGCATTTTCATCTCTGGTCCACATATTCCACAAAGAACACTTCCTTTCAAAGTGGTTTTGTCTTACATTTGTTACTACAAAATTGTTATAATTATTCATTAGGACTAAGGCCTGAGATTACTAGAGCACTTTCAAAGCATGCTGAGGACCCTCAGTTGAAATCTAACCCAATAAAAATACTGTACAGTTATACACACACACACACACACACACACACACACACACACACAGAGAGAGAGAGAGAGAGAGAGAGAGAGAGAGAGAGAGAGAGAGAGATCTATAAGTGTTGCAGCTATATAAAATTTTACTACATTTGATGCTAAGTAGGAGCACAGATATACTGGTTACTTTTATTTCAGATTGAAACAGTTTACGATCATCTAAGAGAAGGTAACCATGTATGAGAAAATGCTCCCATTGGTGTAGGAGGTTCTTCTGTTCATTGGTTAATGAATAAAGAAACTGCTTTGGGCCTGATAGGGCCGAACTTAGGTAGGTGGAGAAGACAGAACTAAATGCTGGGAAGAAGGGCAGAGTGAGAGACGCCATGGATCTTCTGCATGAGAGGGATGCTGGTTAGAATCTTGCTGGTAAGCCACAGTCATGTGGTGATACACAGATTAATGGAAATGGGCTAAACTAATATCTAACAGTTAGCTAATAAAAAGTTAGAGCTAATGGCCAAGCAGTGTTTTAATGAATACAGTTTCTGTGTTGTTATTTTGGGTGTAAGCTAGCCGGGTGACCGGGACAAACAAAGGGCCCCTCTCTACTTGTAACAACCCGATAACAACTCACTGTGGGCAAGTCTGTAAAACACTTTCTTAGTTATTGATGAGGAAGGGAACAGACCAATGTTGGTAGGGATTTCCCTGTGCTGGAGGTTTTGGGTTCTCCAAGAAAGTAGGCTGAGCATCCATAGTGAACAAGTCAGTAAGTAGGACCACTCCATTTCCTGTGATTTTGTTCCTGTCTCCAGGTTCTTATGCTGTGTGAGTTCTTGTCTTGACTGTTTTTGATGATGAATAGTGATATGGTAGTATAAACCAAACAATCCCTTTACAACCAATGCTGCTTTGGCCAACATCTTTCATCTCAACAATAGTACTCCAAATTAAGACAATTTATTACCAGAATTGTG